AAGTTTCGCAGTTGTTCGGAGGTGACGTGAATTCCATAGACCTTCTCCAGTCAGGCAGCGATAGGAGATGGCTTCATATCTTGATGTACATGAAGGTGATGGATGAACGCCTGCTCCTGCTTATCGAGGAATATCTTGAGCATCGTCCTGAAACTCGTATCCACGCCTCTGTTCTTCTGTCTGGACTGCGTAAACTTTACCGTATGTAAGCCAGCCAAAGTATCTTTTTTGTCTCGCGCCTTCAAATCTCAAAGATGTTGCAAGCTTCGATTGCCCTGAACACGAGCTGATCCATATGTCGATCCTTTGACCGTGTATGTGACTGGGGTTTTATCACTATTCTACTTTGAAAATCTTTTGAAACCACATTTTACCATTTATCATCACTTCACCCTTATATGCTCCATTATCCAGGATTCAAGCTAGGTTTCGGGGATGGAAATTTTTCCCAATCGAAGGAAAAGCCCGCGATTATTCGCCAACACGAATAGTGAACTAGTGGTTTACATGTGGACACAAAGTTCCGTGTAACTCGACAGTGTAGAAAAAAGCAGAAAAAACACGCCAACTGCACTAGGTAGAACCCTATTGCGACACTTACCCAATTAACTCTATCTCCAACACTACACCCTCATCCGCCAGCTGATCCCCGATGAGAACTCTACGACCGTACAAGTGACGATTTTCATGCTTTTTCGTCCTGCAGCTTCGTTTTCACTGAAAGGCGGGCCTCGAGAATCACTGGAGAATAGGGAGCGTCACTGACCCTATATTGCGTCCCTCCCTTACAATTTTTTGCCGCGAAACCGGTTCAAGGTTGCTCGTCGCGAACCACAGTACCCCCCCCCCTCCCCAGACGCCATATTTTCAACTTTTATATTCTTGATCGTGGACCGTGCCTTTGAGTTTTGCTTAATCATTATCTCGAAATGGGGAAATTCAGAAACTAGCACGAATATCACATCCCCATAACCCGAAACCCTCTGGCATCAGCGCAAAAAAACCTTAAGGCATCAAATTCGCTGGAAACTTGTGTCAAAGTGTAGGTTGATCTGTTAAATACGAACAATGCATTCGTTGAGGATGAAAACCACTAGAATGTACCCTGCGAGTTTTGGCTCCAAAGTGACTTCTAGCGGCGGTACCTGGACTGGAAGTGAGTCAGCCTTTCGGCTCCAAGCAAGTGTTGAGGGGTCAAGCTACTAGCCAAATCTATCCCGGAAAAAAATTCAATTGAAACGTGGCCGGTTTTGTAGAGTGGGCAGAAAAGAATGAACAGAGTCTTGAAGTTGATAAAGAATATAGTTGAAAGCTAATCAAGCCGTCAAACTGGTAAGAAAAGCCGTCAAACTCACTTTCGTACCCGTTGCAGTAGAGCGCAAATGAAAACGAGTGTGTTTTGCACCACAGCCAAAGTTTCCTGCACCGATGACAAGGTGTCTCTTATAGTTGACGACGAAGACTGGAAATAAACGAGTAAGGGTTCTTCATGATTACGCTACATCACTTAGACAGCCCTTTAACGATACGCTCACTACAAGCACGAGCGCTAGAGTGCGTTCATGTTTTGCGTGGCGTTTTGGGGGTGCGACAGCATTTTGAGAGTTTTGAGCGTTCGCTAGCGTTTTGAGCGGCTAGGAAAGCAAACGCTCGAAACGCTGATGCAAAGTATGAACGCACTCTTACGGGCGTTAACAAATAACGATGAAAACGTGTTGGCTTCACATGCAATATTAGTTATCTATGAGACGTTCGACACACTTCCTTATCCTTCGATTTGGACGCTGTGAGGGCGTTTGCCGGGGATTTTCCGCCACTGTCTGGTTCCTGAAAGAGACACACAAGACACCATACGGGCACACAACAATCGTGACAGTGTACGAGGACTACGGTGATGTGACTGCTAGAAAAAGAAGACGAGTTATTCCAATCTGTTGTTTGAAGGATTATCGCTCGTCAGGAAAGGGATAGAGAGATTTCACTGATCAAGTGGGTAAATCACAGCAACATACGGAC